GAGATTTTTCCATACTTAAGTATTTGATTAAAAATTGTTCAGATTGTTTCCAGGGTCTTGTTACTGAGTTTTTTGTATACTTTATATATAAATTGATTTATGCTTATGACTAATTTGGCACTAGGGCTTCTGATGATTTTCTTTATTTCTTTCAAAGATATGTCTTGTAATATTGATACATATATTTTGTCCTTGATTTCACTCTTTGATCTGTACTCTCATTTCCAAAGTGAGTGGTTACATAGTGGTTGGATTTTTCTTACTGGAATCCAAGTGTGGTAGTGTTATTTGACTTTGTTTTTTATTGCTTTAGAATTAGTGATAATATTTATTTTCTCATTCTTTTCTATTAGCTTGTTCAGGATTATCTTTCTATGTGGTTATTCTAGAATAATATCGATTATTATCCTTTTTTGCTTGTCAGGAAAGTCTGTCTAATTGAAATTCTTCGTTATATAATTTGCAGGTATTTTTTGTTTATGATAACTTTGCTTACAATTTTGTATATCTTGATATTTTAATGGATTATATTTGTTTATTCTTGAAGATACTCATTTGTATGTTCTTTTTGAAGTTTTTATAGTTGTGCTACCAGATCTGGGAAATAGTTCTCTATTGGTACTGATATTTTAATCATCACTAGTATAGTTTCTCTATAGATTTGTTGGATTTGATTTTTCCACTTTTATAGTTTTATCAGAGAGTTCTCTTGTTTGTGTGTATCAAGATGTATTCTCTTCTTGCAATGGTGTTTCTTCCTAGGATTATAGTTTTTTGTTACTTTGAGAATATAATTATATAGGAAGTTCTATTTTTTATCAGTTGATCCTTATATTATTGAGTGTTTGGTCAAAACTCTTCGATTTCCTTGAAAAACTTTATCTATTGTTCTATATTACTGAGATGCTAATTATATTTATGATTTGGTTTATAATATGTTGCTTTTTTTTTTTGTATAGTATGATTCTTTAAGTAATAATGTACAAAGATGAGTTAGTCAATACGTAAAAAGGTCTGTAAGATTGTGGGTTAAAAATATATATATATAACTAAAAAAAATCTTTTTTATTAATTTTTAATTATATACAAAAAAAATATTTATATAAAGTTTTATATTTTTTGTCAATAAATTTATATTATTGTATATAAAAATATTTGAAAAATAATTACAAAAATATTTTTATTTATTCTTTTTATTTATATTCTTTTTTAATCAAAAATTTGATTTTTAATAATCAAAAAAGTCAATAAATACTTTTTTATAGCAAAAAAGTTTAAAAGAAAGAAGAACCAATAATAAAATATTAAAAATCTATTTTATAAACTAAAAATACAAATATAATTTTTTTGCAATAGAAAAAATAAATAAATAAACCTAAATATTGAAATCATTTCTATTTATTATTTTTATTTTTTATAGTTTTTCATATTTTAAATTTTCTAAAGAATTTTAAATATTTTAATTTGATTCTAAATTTTAGAGTAATATAAATATATTACATATAATTTTTACTAAAAGTAATTGATATACAATATATTAATAATATAATATAAATAAGTTTCTATTTATTATCATATATATTTTCATAATATTATTGATAATAGAAAGAATTAATTGATATTTTATTTCTCTCTACTCATTTAATTGAGTTAAATTATATATCAAGTTTTATGAGATCAATAAAATATAAGTAACAAGTTTCTAGATAATAAAAAAGTTATTATTTATTTAAACTGAAATGTTTTTTTTCATTCTAGTTAAGTAATATTTAAGATTAAGATAAATGTATTTTTTATTTTAGTTAAGTAATAAAATTAAGTAGTTTCTAGTCTATAATAAGTTTTATTTCTTTATTTAAAAGCTATTACAAATTATAATTAATAAATTGCTTTTATATTATTATAAGAGTAATAGAAAACAAGATAAATCATTTCAATATAATTGTAAATTAAAAAAAAAAAATAATAGAAGATATTTATTTATAAAATTTCTTTAACTAAATATAACTATTAGAAGATATTATATAAAAATAATATAACTTATTATAAATTGTCAGTCTATTAAAAATATATACAAAATCATTTCTGCAGTAATGATTTGCGGGTAATGATGTTAGAAGTTAGAAAGATTCTTATCTGAACCTTTAATGAAGTGATAAATCACTTCCAAAATTGCACTTAAAGAGGTAATACAATTAAAATGAGTGAGTTGATTAGAGATTTAGCTTTAACATTTTATTTAATATGTATAGCTTACAAATGTTTAATAAAGCATACATAATTAATCTAACAGAGAGTTTAAATATATATATATATATATATATATATATACAAAATTATTGTTTAAAAAAAATTAAAATTATATATATTTTTGAAATAAAAGCATATATTAAATAATTAATTTTTTTAGATAATTTACAAAAAGAAAATTAAGATTAAAAATAAAATTTTCTTAAATAATTAAAAAAATATATATTTTAATAAAGCATTTTTTATTGAGAAAAAGTTTTGAAAAGTGAATTTCTAAAAAAAAACTAAAAAATTTTATTAATTTTTTTTTTAATTTTTTTATAACACAATTATATATTTTTTATATTTATATAATTTTTTTCAATCTATTTTTCTTATATTATTTGTATTTTAGTGGTTTAATAAGATAAGATATACAACAATAATAATTTTTAAATAGTAGAATAAAAATTAAAAAAAAAATTTATTTAAAGTTTATTATAAAGTAAAATATTATTCTTAAATTCAAACTTGAAAACTATTTATATTTACAATAATTTGTTAGATTTAAAAATGTTTATTTAAAGCATATATCATATTGCTTAAGTGAAAAAGTACTTATATTTTCAATTTATTAATAAACTATAATTTAAACTGACTACAGATATTATAAAAAAATATTTACTATTATTACAAAATTAAAAATGGATTTTATAACTTATTTAAATTCTAAAAAAAATATAATTTTTTAAATAATATTTATACTTTTCGAATAATTTTATTATAAAACATAAAAATAGTTATTTTGAAAAAAAATTTTTTGGTAATTTTTTTAATTAAATATTAAAAATTATTTATAAGAGACTTTTAATTTTAATATTATTTTTTAAATAAAATTTAAGCTTTTAAAGATTTCAATAAACTTATTTTCAATTAAATATTTTTTATACTAAAACAATATATTTTAAAAAAAGTCAATTATTTAATACTATTGAATTATTTTTATTGATTTACATCAATTTGTGCTTTATATTAAATTTATAGTTTTAATAATTTTTTCTATTTATATTAATTCATTCTTTATTTATAAATCTATAAAGTTTGAATTCATATTTTTTATTACATATTTTTAAACCAACAATTTATATAATATAAAGTATAAGTGTATAAGTTTTTTAAATTTTTAAAAATGCTATTTTTAAAATAATCTTTTTAAATTTTCATAATAACTATAATATAATTCTCTTGCATTTTTGTTAGTTATGAAATGAATTTAACATACTGTATACCATATTTCAAAATCATAATTTAAATAATCTTTTTGCGTGCGTAAACGCGAACTATGTCATTGTAGCTGTTGTAATCTTTTAACTCTTTAGGTAGTTCATTGATCATTTCGTCATACTCTTCGGGAGTTGTTTCCAAGATTGACAAAAGAACGGGCTTCATACTGTGAAACACGGCGCAGATATTGTCGATGGCCTATAAATTGCGAGTTGATAAAGTTAGAACGCGCGATTTATTTAATTCCACCAAATTGCAATAAATAAATTACCGCTTGTGCCAGTTTTCCATATTTTGCATCATAAGGCCAAAGATTTTTTTCTTCTTTGATATCTTCTAATTGGCCATTTTTCTCTACCAACGACCGTAATTTGTAAACTACATTTATGTCAAGTGTTTGCTTTGCAAATAGTTCACGAACTATTCGTATGCAATAGTGGATTTTTAATACGTATCATGCATTGCATGTAATCTCCAATATTTAAAGGTTGCGCATCATACATACCAGCATAATAAAGTTTAGTCGAGATCGGACCTGTCTTGTGAAGCTCACTAATTTCCGATAACTTAAAAAGTAACATCACGAATGAGCAAACCAATCACGTCAACAATAATCACGAATGTTTATACCGTGATAGGTACCTCCAGGTAACCGCCTGGCTTAAGAACTCTGGTCAATTCTCTAATAACATTTGGCCAACTATCAGTGGGAATTGCACCAAACAATAAACGTTGAAATACGTAATCAAAAGTATTGTCTTGAAATGGCAACCCATTTAAAAGATTTGCGTGAACAAAGGTGACATTTGTAGGTTTAATACTATCGGGTTGAATAGGAGAGATATCAATTCCTGTGATTTTTAACCTTGGATAATCTGTTGCCATCTCAAACATCCAGGAACCTACACCACAACTTTCGTTAAAACAAGAGTTAAATTGTGCATTTGCGAAAAATTTTAGTAAACTAGCATCGTAATCATAATGTTATGGTATTACCCAACGTCAAGAATAATCGAATTATCTCTTTTTAAAACGTCTTCAACGGGTGCAGAAAAGTTACTTTGAAAAATATGTCTTATCACAAAGTGTTGTAGATGTAATCTATCCAGTTCCTCGTCATCGTTTGGAAGATTATATTTTGCGCCTTCAACATCATGATACCTTCTCCCATCAATATATCGGAACCTTGGTGTCAAGGTCGTAGGTTTGGCATCAAATCTTCCTTGCTTTCCGCATATTACATTTCCCATGTTAACGATTTTCGACGAGCTGATTTAAATTATCAAAATCCAATAGATAGTATTTTATTTACTACTATACGACACGTTTCAACTTCCAGTTCTAGACTAGCATCGGATTTAATTTAAACATAAAGATCTAATTTGCATTCGGTATCACATAGATAAGAAATACGGTTCAATGTACAAACAAACAATCTGCCCCTAAATAATCATATTATTGATGATGCCGTATACGTACTAATATTTTCAACACAATCGCCCGGTAATAAGATAAAGTCTCAAGGGTCCACCACCGCGAGGATCGTAACTTGATTTTGGATGAGAACCAAAACAATGCCATAAAAAATGTGTTAGATGCGCAAATATGCCATCCAAAATTGCACTCCATCCGAGATTTGAGATATTATTCCAACGCAACTGTACACCATCGAAACATGCGAGCTGAAGTTATGCTGTATCACCGCAACCACAAGGCATTCGTTATTGGTTAAACACAGTTGTGTACGTACTCCCCACGTAGTGTGTTGGCAACAGGACACACAACCCTGTCGTGTCGAACGATCGTTTATTAGTGGGCAATAACATGTGGAAGCGTTTCATAAGCAAGATTCCTTTGAACTTGGATGGAATCCGGGATTTTTCAACCCGATATTGGCATTGCACAGTATATTAGCATATCAGAGTAAATCTCATTACTGTAGAAAGATATGCCAATAATAAGAATAATTGCTAAAATGACATTTCCTGATTTAATCAAAATACGTATCAAATATTGAAACCAAAATCAGAAGGAAGTTACTTGTTGCACAAAATGATGTTGCATTGAAATACCACGAAGCACTAGAGAATTTATGGATACGAAGATTACCAAAATTTCATAAAGATCAAGGGTCATTCCATTGGCGTTGTTCTCATGTCTTTCTGTGCTTGCACGAAACACCGAAATAATGCAACACAGAAATTGTGCGCACAATTGATGGCAATTTTTTATGGTAGCTTGATAAATTTGTTGATACGTATTGTACAGGCAACCAAGTCAAAGTCAGATCACGTACAACTCTTGGTTTGAATTTTTTTTTCTTTTTTTTTTTCGTTTTTTTTAAGAAAAATTAAAAATTTCAGAAATCGTCAATTTAAAATGATAAAGGATCACAATCCAATTTTCTATATGGTTGTTCCGACGGATTCTCAATTGTGTACTATGCACGCGCTTACGTACAATATTTATTCATGCTATCGCATCATCGTGTATAAAAAAAATTCATAAATTCTTTAATAAAAAATTTTTTTTCGGTAAAAAGTTTCTAATTTTCGACAGAGAATGAAATAAACCTTTTACAACTTTTTACTTCCTCTAAGAGAAATTATTGTAATAAATTTCGATTAAATGCAATATGATAATATAAATATAATTAATAAACAAATATGCAAACAAACAATTATTTAAATGTATTGATAAAATAAATGGATAAATTACATATACTGTATTAAATATTTTTTAACTGAATTTTAAAATAATGTATTGCGTTTTCGAGTAAATAGTTTTTATTTAATCAGAGCAAAATATTAAATATACAAAATAGATTAAAATATTTCAACATAAGTTTTATTTTTTTTATCAAAAATAATAATTTCAAATAATAGTATAAATATTAAAAATAAATTTTATAATTTCATTAAAGAAGATTATTCATTAATAATTTCAATTTCTTTAAAAGTATATTTATAATTAATTATGTAATATATTGTAGACAAGAAATTCGATGATTAAAGAATAATCCAAATTATTAAAAAAGCAAAATATCATCTCCTAAGTTGTATCTAGAGAAGGTTTAACTTCAATAATAGATAAGTTAATATGTGAAAGTTTACAAAATGTAAACATTTTAAATAATATGTCAGTGACAACATGCTAACAATAAAGTATTAAACTAAGAAAGTATTTATTCAAAGACCACTATAAAGTAAAATATTGTTTTCAAGGTCAAACTTGGAGACTATTATTGTTACTTAAATAAAAATGTACTATTAATATTAATTAATAGCTATATTCTCTTTAGTTATTATCTATAGTTCTTATCTATCATATTATCTTAGTTTTATTTTTAGATTCTTTGAACATATGATGCAAGGTATGTCTCATTGATTCATAAGATAAACCCAATTATTAGGACAAAATAATAATTTAATTTTTTTTTTTAGCTCATAGTCAGGTCAATATGACATGTCTATATTTTATATATATAAATATTTATAAGATATTTTAATTTTCACATACTAACTCACCCATTATTAAAAAAACTGTTTCTTTAGATATAACATAGAAAATAATATTTTTCCCCTTTACTGACTTAGATAAAACAAAATAGTAATTTACATAGTAAATATTATTTAATTTCTTTATTATATTATTATATTTTGACTATATTTAGCTAGCAGATTATTCAAATAAGCAGATTTGATTTATAGTATTAATTTAAATTGCCAAATCTGATAAATTTAATCGCGTTTATCACTTTTGTCATCAAATAATAAATATTCAATTATATATAAAAAGGTTAACTATTCAAAGTAATTAATTTAAAAATTTAATTTACTAAGTTCTCTTTTTCTAAATATTAAATAACCTTTTATTTAAACCAAATTATCCAATGTTTCTTTAAATATATTTTATAATTTCTACTATTCTTGAATTATCAATTTTAGTATATTATAATCAAAATATTTTCTTTTTAACTTAAAGTGAATTACTATTATAGTTGTTCTATTTATCTATTTAATTTAAAGATTATTAAATAGACCAACAATAGAAATTGTAGTATCTTTATCTAAAGTTCCTATCAAAATAAATATTATATTCAAGATTTGACTTCAAAACTTTTTATATTTTTAATAAGTTTAAATTAATATAAATATTTAATTATAGTTTTTTTTTTTTTATCCTCTGTCAGGTTAGTTAAGTATGCTTTATTAAATATTTGTAGGTATTATATTAAATAAAATGCTAAAGCTAATTCTCTAATTAACTCACTCATTTTGATTATATTATCTTTTTAAATACAATTTAAAGAGTAATTTATCACTCTGTTAGAGGTTTAGATGAAAATCCTTTCAACTTCTAATATCCTTACTTCCAGATCACTACTGCAGATCATTCTTTTGAGCTCTGATATAGATTAAAATCCAAGCACTTCATATTATACTTTACATAATTTAATAGAATTTCTTCCAATTTTTTGTTTTTTATTCTCTTTTTCTTATATATCAGTTCTTATTGAATTAACTTTCTATACTTTTGCTCTTTCTTTTCTTGCTTTGTAAATATGATAGTCTTTTTATCTTGATATATTTGCAGATTCCTAATTTCTGTTTCTATTCAATCACTTTTTTACATCTTGCATTTTATATTTTCTTTTGGAAGTGATTATATACTTTTTCTTGCATCTTTATTATCTATTTTTTAGTTTTTTTTTCAATTATCTTGCTATAATATATCAAATCTACTATTTTGATAACTAATTCTTTCTCAATTGGTCCCATATAAAGCTATGTTTATCCTGACTAGTTTCTGAGATCCTTTTTATCAGTTTAGCTATCTATTTATTAATTTTTCTTATTTCTATCTTATCATTTATCATTAAGTTTAACTCTTTCACTTCCAATTCAATTTTTCTTTCTTTTTATAGTTTTTTGAATTCTTTCAAGACTTCTTTTATTTCTTTTTGCCATGCTTTATTTTACTGAGTCTTATAAGTTGGGTATTCTAGTAAATGTTCTATTTTTTATTTTTTTAATTATACATAATATATTTCACTTACTTGTAAAGATCTGATTTTTTTATAGTCAGCTTCATTAGTATTAACAGCTCATTATTGATTAATTTAATAAGAAAGCTTTTGTTTTGTGAACTTTTAAATAAGTGTTTCATGTGTATACTTTCTTAAAATATTTATATGCTAGATCTCACATATATCGATATTAGTCTTGGATTTGCAGATCTCACTCCTTTCAGTTCTATTTTAAGTTATCTATTGGTAGACTATTACTTTGTTATTAATTTTTTTGATATCTTGTCTTATAGGGGTATCTAGCACTATATCTTGCCATTTAATTTCTGTAATAATCATGGATAAGATCAACTTTTTTCATTTTATCACTGGAAATCCATGCTTCTTTAGCTAGAGCATCTGCTTTTTCATTATACTGAATGTTTGGATGTGCCTTAATCTTGATAAACTTGAGATCCAGTTTTTTTTTCTTTATAAAATCTAGCATACATGTCCACAGAAACCAATTTGTTTTTTTAACCATCTTTTGTGTGTCATTTTGGAATTCTTCTTTTCTATGGTTTTTCATTTCAAGATATAGACTTAACTATCTATAAAAATTTTGATCTTGTTATCTATTGAGGTTACTAGTAGTATAGTAACTATTGCTACTAATTTTGCTCTACTGAATAAAGACCAATCCTTTACTCCAGTTTGGAACTTGTTTTTTCTTTCTGCCTTTCCTATTTGTATCTATACTACTTATATTTTTATGTTTATACTTCTGTAGCTTATAAGAAACCTATCAGAGTAGAATATCATTAGTTCTTTTTTTTGCTTGTTGAAGTTGGATATTTTGATCAGATAGGATTGATAGACACCTTCTTTAATATGATCTTTGATAATATTTATTTTCCAATTCTCTATTTCAACTTGAAATGCTCTTTCATTCTGGGTAATTAATTGGCTATTATATATTATCTCTTTCAATACTTTTTTGGAACTTAAATTTCCAGTGATTGAGATCTTCTGATAAACTTTCTTGCATTGATATAAGGAACAATATGTACTTTCTCTATACTTGTTTCTATTATATATCAGTTTTCTATCTTTGTACCTTCTATACAATCTTGATACTAGGCTAGCTTTGATTTTCGATTTTTAACAAAATCGATATATTTGAAGGGCTCTATTTTAAGCTGTTTTGAAATATTATCTAGTATCAGTTTTTCTCAAATTATTTGTTGCTATTGAAATTTGCTTCTTGTAACCATCCAAAGTTTTTATTATTTGTCAAAGTTGACATTAAGAGTAGGATATTCTAGACTTTATTTTATCCATTCTTCTTTTAGGATTCTAAAGGCTATTTTAATCTATTTTCCTGTATTATCTCGTTATAGATAGGTATCATCCTGGAATAGGTCTTTTGCTTGTTTTCTGTAACAGTTGAAGCATTCACCAGTTTCGTATTTCTTTTGTTTCGTAGTCAACTAACTAATCTATATACATTAATTTATTGTTTCTGAGTGATGTAATTGCTTTTTTGTTCCTTTAGTTATTTACATCACTTTTCTACTGATTCTTTGACCATACACAAAAAAGATGTTTACAAAAAGGTTTTATACTTCTAAGTTAATAAAGTCTTACTATTCTCCTTAAACCAATTTGAAGAAACTTCAAGAGTTATCAATTACTCCTTATCCACTTGCTTACTATCCTCTTCAAACAAAAACTTGACCTCTAGTAACCCTAAAAGATCAAGAAAAAACCTTTTTTACCAATAGCAAGAAAGTTCTAAAAGAAAGAAAAACTAATGTACCATCATCTCACACTATAGAGAAATATCACAGAAGTCTGTAAATAATAAAAAACACTTTCTCAACTCTCTTGTTATCGGTCTAATTTCTCATAGTGCTCGTTTATAATTTTTTTCTGAGGAATTTTGCCTACTTTAATTTGACCTTGAATTTTGAGTAGCACAAAATTTCTCACACCATGATTAGATAGATAGAGCTCATATCAGTAAAAGAATGTAAACAAGCTTTCATTAGTTATCTTACATGTCTAAATGCATTTCCTCAACTTTATAAGAAGCTGGGGTCTACCATAAGTCGTTAGTTTGGATGTG